AAAGTTTCAGATCAAAATTCAAAAATATGGCCTTGCTGCAAATGTGGGGTCTTATAGGAAAAATTCACTAAAACCTCAATATCTCACTAGGAACAAGCTAGGGGCACGAACTTTTTTTACGGTAGATATAATTCATCAAGACCTACAAGATGCGCAAAGTCTCGACTAAAAATCGCTCCAACACCTGGGAATGTTCCCTCGTTAGGTTTGTTTTTTCCACTCGAATGAACATTTATCATGTGCCACATTAAAATCGAAAGAATCAATTCTATTGATAAAGCACATACATAAATTTATTGAGTCACAATCGACGTTATATTTGTTCGTAGGACAAAAGAAAGTGACGAATTAAGTTATCACAATACGTATGTCTAATCAAACGTAAATCGCTATGATGAAACAATTGCATAAAAAAAGTTTCATTCATATTAATCCTATGTTTTTGTGCAATATACAAACATCTGAATTTGATGGAAACAAAGAAAAACAGATTTAGACTAAATTCATCAATGAAATATTATCTGAAGTCAAATTTTTGTGTATGCATACCAAGACAGATATTATTGACATTGAAAGACAGGAAAATGATTCGTTGTGCTTTTTTCAATGTTAGAAAAATGCTTCTATCATTAATGATTGCTAATTTAGTAGATTGCGCCAGCTTAAGGCCGTCTTTACATATACTCTATCAGTGCCAATGTTATTTCAACGGCTTAATTATAATCAAATACTTTTCAATAATATATTTATCAATGGAGATCATTAATCAGATCAACGACATATACATATATGTACAAAACTGATTCTAGAAACTTCATTTAGACAGGCTTCCTTGTATACATACAACTTGATGACATTCTACGTATATTTGATGATGTAAGCATTGGTATTGAATATTGATATTGATATTCAAATAGTAGCAATTGTCGTATATTTATATCTATAAAACAAGTAACGCGACGTAAGCGTTGCTAACCCTTTACTGAAAGGATATGATCGCGTTAAACATGTAATAAACGCTCATACGACATGATTACAGTGCTCACCAATAGAAATTGCCGTTTGAGTTATTTTTTTTGTAGTTATGCATTTTGATTGTTTAATAAGTTGTTATGAACGACAAGCAAAGAGAATCTTCGTATTTTTTGTCAGAAATATAGTAAAGATCTTGTTGGCATTTTGAAAGTTTATGCCATGTTTTGTCGAAACCCAAAGATTCATAAGAAGGAAGTTTGACTTCTGTTGAGATACTCAACTTGAAGGATAAAAATAGAAAATCATTCCAAAAAAAAGCTTGTCTTTAATGACAGCACAGAGAAAGAGTTATCGTACGCTGATAATTTCTCGAGTACTTTGTAGAGTGAGCCCGTTATAATATTATTTGAAAGATAACACTTCCGGGAATTCTTTTTTATAATCATATTTACAATTGAATATCAAATGAGTATACACTCAGTCGAATAACATAAATCGCTCTTATTGCGTCTCTCTTAGGAATATTTTCTCAAACTATGATGAACTGCTAAGTATTCATCAATACACAAATAAGAAAAGGAGCGAGTCCATAAAATATCTATTAGCAGATAGAAACGATTTTTTAATGTCCGGCTTGATTTAGATCATTGCATAGCATATTTTCATGGCAAACTTCTTTTTTCTCAAACTTGTGGTTGCTAAAAAACATTCAACTTATTTAATTATTGTGGTTACCGTAATAAGTATGACATTATAAATAATATATGAGCTATAGACCACTTAAATACTGAACAAGCTACTAACAACGCTGGTCACTGTGACTCATCTGATCCTTGACTGAATCCGATTTAATCATCATCCATCACTACCTGTTCAATTCTATTTTGACAACTATATCTGAGCAAGTAACGCTCGTCTCCAAACATCTCTTCATGTTCGACTGAATTTGATCTAACTACTATTTTTCACCGTTTACTGGGCTTTGTTTTGAGAAGTGTCGCTCAACACTTACATTCATACAAAAAAAGAACTGTTTATCATATTGCCAGGGACGACCATTGTATAAAGAGATCGGACCTTTCTATTTTCTGTTGACATTCCAACGGGCTGCTACTACCAACTGCTCGATTTCGTGTATGATCCAGGTATAATTTCAAGCGGTGATTCATTTTCTTGTTCAGGACATTTTTAGTAGTACAAAGAAACAAATGAAAATGCATTTCGTATTCTCATGTTGACAATTAATTATGTGCAGTGAATATAATACGAAGATTAATTAATTTAACGCAATGGGGTAGACATTTTAGTTGGTATAGGGGAAATGGAACTCACAGATATGCGATACTAATTCTCACGATCTCTACTCTTGCAAGTTATTTTCCCACAGGCCACTCGTGGTCATTGGAAAATTGTTGTATGAGGTTTTTGTTTATATTTCAAACATTCTGAAATTCTTGTTCTTCCATTTCTCTGAAACAATAAATGCCATCTTTTCCTTTGGCAAGCATGGCACATGCGAACGAAAATTCTTCTAATTCTAAACACCAGAGACCTAATAATGTTCGGAGACGGTACGGCTGAATGCTTGAGATGTTTGGCATATGTCCACAAGGTACTCTGTTCGAGCCTTGGCTTCATCAGTCATAAAATGACCTTGGAGATGTCACCAACGGCTGCTTTGTCTCGAACTACCCATCCGATACAAAACTATCTACGTGGTTGACATACGCTAAAACCCTTGTGGCTACTATGTGGTTAGTCAGTATGTATGGGGAGCTTAAGCGATTCAGCGAGAAAACGCTGAGTCAGGTCGGCCTTCTGTCCAGAGCCACATTTAGTAATAGATGTAGGAAAAATATCGGACTTTCGAAACTGTCCTCTGACAGCATTCTATACCGAAAGGTAGCCATAAGGCGGGGTATTCTTCTTTTTCTTCTTCTTCTTCTTGTCAATAAAAGGATGAATATTAATGCTAATAAGAAAATAGCATAGGGAAATTACCAAAAGAGCCTTTTCTTGAGGTTCAAGGAGAACACCAGTGTTTTTTTCTATAACTGATGGATCAAGAGAGATCAACCTGGTATTGGTGCTTCTGATCAAAGTTCTCCGAGTTTTGTTTCTAGTAAAAATATAAGGCAAAAAGATTTGTATTAAAATTTTTTTACAGAAAGTTTTCTAGATATGTATGGTTGATTAATAAAAGTTTGGTTCATGCCTACTTACAGATAAAGCTTTGAATTGAATGAAGATTTTTGAGTCCAAGCCCAAAAATGGTACGAAAAGAAATATTTTGTCTTACATTTTTGTCGTTTTTTTTTAATCTTATCAATAGAAATAGTAGTTAGACAGTGATGGTATGATTGTGTTTCTCAAAGTGTCCTAAAAATTCTCTCAAATAATAGGAGCTTTCTTGAAAACTATCGATTTTTAACAAAAAAAAAAGATGCATCTTCTGATGCTCTATAAAAATATTTAAAATTCATTTATGGTTTGTGAAAGACTGCAATAACTTGAGTAAAAAATAATCGAAGTATCAGACGATTTTGCTCAAAAGTCGTAAAAATGTGACTTTCCAGAATAACGTTTTGTGCTCTTTCAAATTATTCAAGTTATTTTGAAAACTACATTTTTTTCATCAACCAACTGCAAATATTTCAGATTGCGATTTTATAGACAAAAGTATCTTTTGCTTGACTGACTGTTAGAAATCGGAATTATTAAAAGCGGCAGTTAATCGAATTAAAATATTTTTATCAACTTCACAAAAATAATTTTTTTCCCTTATCCCATAAATTCACTCCAAAACTTTTTTATGCGACTCTACAAGAAATATATATATATACATCACTTTAATAGTCAGTCTTTTTTCCATTGAGAATCTACTCTTTAGTACCAGTGTTCCTCAGTCCCAATAAACATGGTATACTAA